CTTAGCAACGCCACCATCAAGTCATTGTCTTTGAGTCATATAAATAGTTAAAGGCGAAATCCACACCACAAGTAACTGTTAAATATTAGTAAATTAAGGCCATCACTAAGTAAAGAACAATGCCCATTTATGACCTGATTGTGTATAGAAGTGAAATAAATATTAAAATTTAGCTAATTTCATTTTATAGTAATTACACTAATCACAATGTTAAAAGAAGGTCGGGAAAAAAATATTTACGCTTATTTTACTTCAAGGGTGAACATATTACCATGTTTTGAACGCACCTTAACAATCCTTTGCATAGGACGTTCCATTTTTCACACTACCTACTTGACTGTATTCAACTTTTTCTGAGTTTTGTACGTGATTTTACGCTTTAGAGAAGTGAGTAAGCACGTAATTAACAATATTTGTATAAAAATTAAGATCAATCGTATTAGTAGTACAGATTTATCAAAAATAAAATAAATTATTAATGCAGCATGTAATAAAGTTCGCACGGCTGACGTAAATGGATTTTTTTGACATTTGACAGTTCTGCGAGTGACTCATACTCATCGATATAGGCCAGTAATTGTGAGTATTTATGTTTATTATTTTTAATCCCATGTCCTAATCAAACTAACAAAGCTCCTATAAATTATACCTGTGACATAACACAAACAACTGTTAAAAGATCTATATATCCAAAATATGTAGTATAAACTCAATATATGTTTTTTTTATTTCAGATTACTGAGGAAGATTACATTTGTATATCTTGTAATGAACTCTTTATGAGAAGAATAAACCAGGAATTAACAAGCTGTGATGTTGCTCAAGCTTCAGGATTATCTCAACCAGGTCGAAGAACACAGTTTTTGATAATCCTTCAGAAAAGCAAAGACAGATAAATGCTATTATACAAACAAGTTCACAACATCACATATTCATGTTTCTACATTGTTAATCATTTGCCAGTATAAAACTTGATACTATTACTCTAGATTATTTCTCTTTTGTATTTTAGATGTAAATTATTATATCTGTTATTAATTGACTGATGCTGTAATAACATTACCCACAAATAAATACATAATTGAGTTTTTTAAAAATATATTTTTAAGATGAATAATAATTATTGCTTTATTACTTCTTTTGTAGATAGTTTTCTTTTGTAGATATCATAATAGATAGAATATGCCATTCATGCCGGATGTGTTGTAAGAGTGCTGCCACACATATCAGGCATGTTGCTGAAGTTTGTGGTGTTTCTACTACTGAAGATAACTTATTTTTTATGTTTCTGAGATTAAGTTATTAGTGAACTTATACTATTTGCATTAGGTACCAAATAAGGCACGCCAAATCCTGTTATGGCGAACATATTCGCTTTCATGATTCACATAGAATAAAAATATGTAGGGACACAGGGGTTTTCTAGGAATAATCTGAGAGGAAGTGGTGACATAACACTAATAAGAGGAAAAATTAAGTCCTGGCACATTTAAAGAAAACAATATTATGTCTACATTTTAATAGAAAATAATGTGTCTGGCAGAGCTTGTATAGTTGAATACTGTTGTAATTGTTTAGTTGGTTGGCGAACCATAGGATGTTGCACTCATGTTATGACTAGTGTGGTACTTCGGATGAACTATCAAGAAAATATCTCTGTTATGGCAGAATTTTTGGATAACATAGTTATGACATTTAAGTGAAGATGATGATAATTAATAAAGCATTCCACTGTAACATAGTGTTTTATTTTTTCCCCCGTTTTATTAATCAGGTATTATAATATAATTATCGATTATTATGTATTGTAGTGCAGGCCAATGAAATGTGTAGGGCAGATAAATGATCACTTTTAACTTACGTTACGTTTTTTTAGTTAGTACTTATGTGAGCTGTTGAAACAGCAGATGCTCTTCACTCAATTTATAGTGACAATAATCAAGTGTAAGCAGTGACGTAAGGGCAGTCAGTTTCTAGGAATTCACAAGTAAAAAAGACGTTTTAGACCTTAGATAGGCTAATATTATTATTTTAGAATAAACTTGAGCGTAAATAGTTAGTTCTAGCACATTTATTTCGTTATATTAGGTAACAGCAAATTCTAACCTAAAAAGTAACATTTTTTAATAATTTTTGCGCTTCGTAGACCAGCAATCGTAAAACTGACTATATGATATTAATTTACTAACTTAAAGGTAGTCTTTCTGCAATACCTTGTAACTATACATACACTTTCATTATCAGGTTTTTAAATGTATGGGAAGTGGGCATTGTTCTTTATTATACCGATAGTCTCTAATTTACTTGGAAGAAAACCACCTTGTATCGGAAATATAGGAGGTGAAACTTTGCACACTTTCTTCTTTCACTGCACATTTTCTTCATAAATGAAGATTTTAATCAACAAACCATTCAGTCATCAAAGCTTCAGTAACCGATATGCGTCAATAGGGTACGCCAGACAACGTTAGCAAACAAATCTTCATAAGGTATTTCCTCATTGAAGATTGTCAATGAGGCCCTGTACTTGACCCCAAAACTGGAGTCTGCTCTGTTACGACAAACATAGTTATAGCGACATTTCTTGATAACTGTAATCATTATTCTAGTAGTTTCTTTTTGTTTATTTTTTTATACTGTGATTTACCTGTTACTAAAATGCATGGCACTTTATTGACTTCTACCTAAAGCATCTAATTAAAATTTAAAATGTTTCATTATTATTCTACATTACTTAGTTAATGTCATTATTCGAAAAATTAGGAAAGCAAATCTGTTCTTTAATAAAAAAAATAAATATCCGAACTAAATTTTGTTTTGCCATACAAATTATTTTTAGGGTAGAAAAATATGTTCGGGGTGGACCACCCTTAACGTTAAAGTGCATTAAAAATAGATGTTGTCTGCTTCTCCACCCTGGCCGATATGCACACAAAATTTCACGAAAATCGGTCGAACCGTTTCGGAGGAGTTGAATTACAAATACCGTCACACAAGAATTTTATATATTAGATATTATACCATACATTTTATCTATGCTAAGAATTAATTAAATGATTAGATTAATAATGTTTAATTAATTAAATAAAATTTAATTAAATAATACATTTTTGTTTTTACTTTAATTAGAAATGTCTTAATTTCAAATAGCACAAAAAATCCTCAGATTAAAAGATACAAAATAATCAAAATAAATAAATTTATGTTTCTCAGTATAACTGATATAAATCATGATAACTTATTATCCTTTGTTTAAATAAGTCCATCCATATGTAAAAGTGAAAAAAGTAAAGTATTAGCCTATACATGTCCCACTGCAGGGCAAAGGCCTCCTATGTGCAGAGGGTATCAGGACATAGTCCGCCATGCGGCCCCACTGAGGATTGGCGGACTTCACATATCTTTGAAATATTTTTTTTGTTATTTCAAAAATATGCAGGTTTCGTCACAATGTTTGCCTTCACCGCTGATCATGTGATAATTCAGCACTTGAAATTAACAATTTCATCGGTGCTGCCACCAGAGATAGAACTCAGGTTGCTCAAGTATATTGAATAAAAGCCGAGGGCCCGGACACTGAGCTATCACGGCATCCATATGTATGAAACAGGAAATAAAAAGAAGAAAGTTTGCATTTTACTACTGCACTGTGTATGGTGTTTTAGATAAGAGTAATAACTTAATTTTTTAAAGTTTATATTCCATAAGGACATTGCAAAAATAACCTTTAGGAGAAACAAAATATTCGACAATTTTTGGAAAAAAACCAATGGGTTCCCAACCAATGGATCTTATTAGTTTATAACTTTAAGACATCCATTGAGAATTTACTTATTGCGTCATTAAAATACCATGAAGAATAATTTAAGAATATGCAATCATTACATAAAAACAAACAAGAAATGCATATCTATTGCATTGCAATAATAAAGTTGAGCTGATTGGTAGACTGCCATTCATCAAACCTTATCAACGTCTTAAGGTTATATCTTAATCTTTCAAAATATGAATGTAGAAGATGCTTGTTCATTTTTTATGCTGTTACAAAAACTAGGTACATAAAGATAAGACCATGTGAAAACATATACAATGATACAAACTTTTGAAGTGTATTCGAACACTATTTTAATTACATGAGTGTTGATAATTACCCGGTATGTACATTCTTAAGGTTAATTTTGTAATGTAGGACATCTAGAGGTTGATCTGTGAAGGACCTTCTAACATGTGGTTATTTCTTAACTTAGTCAACAGTCTAACTATACAAGGATAATAATATCCTAAAAACCCCAATTTTCTTTTTTTTTTTTTTTTTTTTTTATTATAGTGGCTCCATCAAGGATAGCTTGATGATTCTGCCAATGTCAAGGTTGAATAAAACAAACTGTTGTTGATAAAATTTCCTAAAGTGATGACTTTTGTATGGTATTTAGAACATCATACTTCTTCTTATTTTACTTATACTACCAACTTTCTTAAAATTAAAATCCAAATTATTTTATAACAGTTCAGTGACATTATCATTAAAGATTTTAATGGGAAATTTAAAAAAAAACACATAGAGGGCATTGTAAACAATAAAAAATGTATAACAAATATAATACAAAAATTTAATTTTGGGTCAATATAAAAGTTGTGCATATTACAAGCTATATGATAAATTTATAGTTCTATCATGAACATAATTATGAACTATGTGTCACCATATCAATATTACCTCCCGCGTAAGTTTCAATTGTAGCTATAAATTACTTATCAATGCGCTACTTAATCATACACAGGAGGGAGTGGTCCAACAAATAAAAAAAGTTAATAATATTACATAAATTTCGAACAAACGTCAACCAGGATGGAACTGATAGCAGCGCGGAAAGTGAGACAATGTTTATATTTATCTGGTCTCAGCGGGAGGGAAGTTCTACAAATGATTAGGAAACTGTTTCAAAAAGTTTTATAACTCCGTGATATATTCGTAAAACTTGATAAAATGAAACACTTACCAACAGCATAGCATTCTTCATTTTCAAGCTTTTTCCACACAGTCATGTTTAAAAAGCACTGTATTTTTAAATCCCGATTAAAATACGAGGATCGTCATTTTTATCTCACTGAAAACTTTGTCAAAACACATTGTCTATGGAAGACTGTAGTCAGCTAGTGCGCCTTAGTGCGGTGCAGTGCAAGGAATGATGTGACCATGTTAACCTATAGATTGTCTCTGGTTTAGCGGTTATGTTTAACGGTAACTTAGCCATAATTTAACATTAATGTCTTCTTTGCTAAGCTAATAAAATTTATCATCCCGGGAAAATGTTTTTCATAAATTTTTAAGTTAGTAAACTCACGCTACCACGCTACGATAGCCAGTAAATATAATATACAGCGTGTCTTTACCATCGCGACAATAAATGAACAGACATTTAGAGGATAAATTTTTAAAATTGTATTATAGATTTACATTCTTTAAACATCAATATTTACCGAGTTATCAAATTTTCCAGAACAAAGAATTTTAGAACACAAAGCATATGAATGGGTTGAATGAATTTAAAAGTGACAAAACATACTGTTAGAAGGAGAGGCTTGTAGTGCGGCGCTGTGGCAACGAATGAAAAAGTCTCTGAATGTATGAATCAGTCAGTTGTAGTTGTATAGGATGTTACAAATTTTGTTTCTTTTTTACTTAATTAGTTAGTTTGAAAAAAAATATTTTTTTTAATTATGGATTTTTTTAACGTTAATATTTTTTGAAGTGAAACTTCTTTATCGGGGTTGCAAAAAAAATTTTGTGTAACATTTTTTGTGCAACGTTACGCGCCATCTTTTTTTTATCTTAAAATGTTCCTCTAATGCCATCTAGTGTTGAATAGGGGGTTTTATGTCGTCTTTATTCTTTAGTGGTTTTAATAATTGTCGCTAGATGGCGTTAGTTCCTTTGTTAGTTCATAGCAATATATATACAGCGTGTCCTTACCATCGCGACAATAAATGAACACACATATAAAGGATAACTTTTTAAAGTTGTATGAAACATTTAAATTCTTTAAACATCGATATTTACAGAGTTATTAAATTTTCCAAAACAAAGAATTTTAGAAAGTTCATTTCTAAAGGTCACAAAGCATATGAATGGGTTGAATGAATTTAAAAGAGACAAAACATACTGTTAGAAGGAGAGGCTTGTAATGCGACGGTGTGGCACGAGTTGTATAGGTGTTACAAATTTTGTTTCTTTTTTACTTAATTAGTTTGATTGAAAATTTTTTTTTTTTAATTATGGATTTTGTTTAACATTAATATTTTTTTATGATTATTGGCAAGTAGCGTTAGACGTGTGTTCATTTATTGTCGCGATGGTAACGACACGCTGTATATGTTATATTAAAGTGATCAGCAAAATCAAAGGGTTTATTTTCATTCTAATTCTAAAATGTAAACAATATATTTCGTATTTCAGATACCATAAGCCATAATAACACAAATATACAATAACGACATCAATGATAGTAATAATTCTATTACAATTAATGAAATTCAATAATGATCTTTGTAGTAATGACAGTGCTAGCTCTAATACTTCAGAGCACGACACTGTGTCGACTTCCTCTTCTCCAAAGGCAGGCACCGCCCACCGTGACCTGACTGCGCCTTCCACCGAAGACACAATCTGAAGCTGACCGATGATGCTTTTCGAAACCTCGATCGGCTCCTGGAACTTGCGGTTGCGACGTCGATCCAACGTCCGCAAGTTCGGTTTTCCAAAAAATCTTCACTCACAACACTCGCGCGCGAGTCGAATGTCTGCCTTCTACTCACTGGCTGACTATTCGGCAACGAAGGACCATGTACAAATTCAAAGCGGTTGTATTTTGGATCCGTGAGGTTAATTGAAATAAACAAGGTTCACGTTGCAAGTTTTTTAATCAAAAATTTTTGCGGACCCTCATACTTATTACAACGGTCAAACCATAGTGTGTTTTAATTTATTACTAAAGCCACCTATGTATTACAAATAAGAAACTAAATATTATACAAAGCTAAAATGAAATAATTGTAGAATTTGTCTATGATAATAAAAGCCTTTTATTAAACTTTATGATTTAACTTTATTTAACCAATTTCTGTAAAGTTGCATATAGTAAATTATTTTTTGAAAAATAACGTCATAAAAAAGTTTCACTTCTTACGAGTGTACGCTAGTACACGCACACATTTTTTATGATTATTGACAAGTAGCGTTAGACGTGTGTTCATTTATTGTCGCGGTGGTAAAGACACCCTGTATTTTTAGTTCTATATTAATATAATAATATGCTGATAAAAAATAATCAATTTATGAGAAGTCTATTGTGACATCCAAAATTGACGGTTGCAAATGCAGTATTAAAAAAAGAACTGTTAAAAAGCAAGCTTAACCCTAACGCCCGGTTTCTGAAACACTGATGAACGTAGATGTCAACTAATCAGCTGTCAAATGAATTTCAAATTTCATTTTAGTTGCCAAAAGGATGTTTAAACTCTTTGAATTGATCATTGTTATCATAAAGAAGAGAAGAGAGTTTCACCATCCTTTTGGTACCAAAATTGTAATTTGAAATCCATTTGACAGCGGATTAGTTGACATCTACGATGATCAGTGTTTCAGAAACCGGGCGTAAGTGTATCTATTTGTAACAATCACAAGGTAGGTAATTATACAACTACAGACTGTGCGTTGTAGGGATGTCAAAAAAAACCGATATAAAATATTTAATATTAAAATCATATCAAAAACGATATTTTTTTCAATTTTGAATCCAGCTCAGAATCTGACACTGTTTGACAGTTGAGAAATTGACATGCCTACAAATTGAATAACTTTTATCTACTCGAATGAGTAAGTTTCGATTATTGATTCTCGAGACCTAGTATAATCATTATAGTATGTTGAGAAATACGAAATACGAAAAGAAAAAAAAAACAACAGAACATAGGTACGTTATTATAAAATTTTTATTCTAACTGAATCGTCACTGGATTTGACGACCCGAATGGCGTAGTGGGTATTGTACCTGCCTTCTGTGCCAGAGGGTGCGGGTTCGATCCCCATTACTGGAAAAATATTGTGTGATGATGAACATAGTGTTTTTCTAGTGTCTGGGTGTTTACATATGTATAATATGTGTTTATTTTCGAAAGAAAAGTATGTTTAAGTATATTTATCAGTTATCTAGTACCCATGGTACAAACGTTGGATAGTTTGGGACTAGAGAACGTTTTGTAAAAATGTGTCCTAAAAATATTTATTTATTTATTTTTCATCTTACTCACAGATAAAATTAATGATCTCACAGTCCCAATTAGACATAATGTCCCTTTTTTATATACCGAGTTTACCTTTTAACAGTCTTCCGGGTGCTGCAACGAAGTAATTCCTCCTTTTAACGAATCAGCTTTTTTCAAATAATTTATCAGTTTGAACGATGTTGCTACCTTCAATCGTTTATAATCGTCATAAATATAATTTCTTCTACTATTCTTAGCAAAAAATGTAATTTTACATTTCAAACATTTTTTATTTAACATTCGTCCTATATATTTTGATTAATAGTATTCACAATATTTATATTTTCATCGTTGTCATCGTTTTTATATAAACGACGACCCGGCCGTGGAATCTATATTATTCTATATGATGGTTTTACTTAACTTTTTTCCGAAACGTTATACAGCTATCTAAAAATCTAATAACAAATTTCTTTTTTTACGTCGAGTGGAATCAATACGTTTTTTTGAAGTATGCGCAAGAACAAAATTATTATAAGTTAGAATTTATGTTAGGAAATTATTATATCCTTCTTTACTTACTAGAGTAAGTGAGGCCGTTATATGTATTTTTTTTTAATTTGACTTTATATTAAATTTTCTTTCAATGAGTTACTTTCTAGAAACATGAACAATAAAGTTATCTAAACATTGTTCTTAATGTGTCTTTTTCGATCCTTATCATTTAAAACCAAAGTTTGCTCTGATTTTCTGATAGGCGCTCTCTGTAGAAATAGTAATTTTTTTTCACACTAATGTGATAAACTGATATGTGGAATGATAAGCTGATAGCTAATTTAAAAGAAGATGATGAAATTATGACTAAGCAATTTTAAAGTACCTACTATTTTAATGATAATCGACGATTTGTTCTTTGATTATTTGTAGAATGTTTTTTTAACATTTGCGGACACATTTTTTACACAACGATCTCTAGTACTAAACTACGGAACACTTGTACTATGAGCACTAGAAAATTAATAAACATACTTTTATTTTGTAAATATATAAATATCTCTATATACAGCCTGTCGTTACCATCGCGACAATAAATGAACACACGTCTAACGCTACTTGCCAATAATCATAAAAAAATATTAACGTTAAACAAAATCCATTATTAATTTTTTTTTTCAAACAAACACATTAAGTAAAAAAGAAACAAAATTTTTAACATCCTATACAACTACAACTGACTGATTCACACATTTAGAGACTTTTTCAAGCATTGCCACAGCGTCGCATTACAAGCCTCTCCTTCTGTTATAAGGTATGTTTTGTCTCTTTTAAATTCATTCAACCCATTCATATGCTTTGTGACCTTTACAAATGAACTTTACTTTACAGTTTTATACGTAAGGGTGTTCTAAAATTCTTTGTTTTGGAAAATTTAATAACTCTGTAAATATTGATGTGTGAGGAATGTAAATGTTTAATACAATTTTAAAAAGTTATCCTCCATATGTGTGTTCATTTATTGTCGCGATTGCAAAGACACGCTGTATAAAAATGTATCGCTGTATGTGTTGCTAAGCGCAAATCTCGAGAACAGCTGAACCGATTTCGCTAAATTTTTTTATAACATTCCTTGAAGTACGAGAATGGTTCTTACGGTCTAGAAAGTCTAAAAACAACTCTTTTCATATTCCCATACAAAAGGTTCGTAATAATACTTAAAACTCAATTTGAATCAATTAATATCATACCATAAAGTTTAAGTGTTAGTGGATAGAGTGATTCAA